CCACTCATTTGTCTTTTTTCTGGCAAATTTGGTTCATATGTAAATGACCCTCCAAAAGCTCCTAGGCTTGGCAGATTGAGCACTCTTTTTTTTCTCTCCTGATTCTGAGATAGATTGCCCACCTTTAACTCTCAGCAGCAAACAGGGACACCTGGGTACCCCTTTTTAACATACATGTTTTTAACAAAATTTGTAGCAAATATTTACTGAATCAATTGGAGATACCAAGCTATAAAGAAGCTCAGGATATGGAGGATGCTAACACTGATCCTTCCACTGTGTTGTTCAGTAGAAGTACCTGCTCTAATATTGTAAGGGGATAGCCCTTATACTCAGATAGCAAGTGCTAAGCTTTAAAGATACATGAAATGAGCTGTGTTCTGTCAGGAAGGTACAGTGTTGAATTGTTCCAGTTCTGGTAAGTGACAAAGTAAATTCATAGCAGTGTACAGAATGGCTTTGCCTCATTTTTTTATTTGGCCACTTGTGAATGCACTGTGCGGATGACAGACATCATCTGCCTAACCATTAGCACTGAAGTGAAGGGAGTTCAGTGCAAGGTGAGCCCATCACACTGCCTTTACTAGACAATAGCTTCTGAGAGAAGCTCAATACAGACTGTACGCTGGTTTGCTTTCTCTGTTTTTCCGGTTTCCTCCCCTCCTCTTCACTGACAGCCTGCTTGGATGAGGAAGTTTGTCAGCTATATGCATTTACTTATTAAGTGCTTACCTAATTAGTCTAGAATGTCATCACAGGTGTTGGGGTTGGACCAGGAATGCAGAATATGAGTCAAAGCCAGAAACAGAGTTTCTAACGTCTCCACTGGAAACCCTGAGGTCTGTATGAGTGTTTAAATTGGAACTGACGGCAACCTGTAGGCGAGGCTATGAACTTCGGGAGCCAGAGAAGGAACTCAAAACCTCCCTCCCTAGTACTTCCCCAGGGGCACGGGGTAACTATCACCTTGAATGCACCTGGGCAAATTCAGAGCCTGACATGGAGCTCCCTCATGACCTCTGTCAACTAATCCGTCGAAATCTTTCCAGACCTGGAGCCTACTCCACAGACTGGGTCCATACCCAGAGCAGCAAGTGACTCCAACCAGTAAGAAAGCCTGCCCAGGTGCCAGGCAGAGACTTCACATCTGACTGACATATGGGCTCCAAGTTTTCTCTTCTCACAGCTTGAGGTCATGAAGCGGGTGGAACGTCAGTTCATACATATGCAGCCTAGGGGATTTGGTTTAAATCAAATTATAATTACAACACGAGCCAGGAAAACAAGGATTCTTTTTGGATACACTTTTTTTTTTTACTTTGCATATGACCTTAAATATATGTTGAGCACAGCACTGTGGCCATCCTACCATATATACCTCCAACTGCTGAACAGAATACCCCGAGGTAGAAAGCTCTGAATATAGGAGATGCAGTTACCCAGCTCTGTAAGGTCCACTGTGAACACCTACAAAGGTATTTTTGCCTGCTGCAGTAGACACTCTTAAACATGGCCCCGCCCCTGCAGTACCCACATAGCCCCTGGTCACCTAGCTTCAAGCTCAAGCTGTGCTCACAGTGGGATAGACTGAAAATGGTTCATATGAAACCAGCCCTGCAATTCTGAAAACCAGAGATTGTCCACTGAGTGTGACGACACAATCCCATGTGTAATGCCTACATCTGTTTTAGCTTCTCCTGATAGTCAAGTAGAAAAATGCATTAACTCCCTGAGCTTGCATATAGGATCAGGTAACTGTCTATGGAGCTAGAGTATGAGAGAATAAAATTCTGCACATAAGCATGGTTATTAGCCTAAATAACCAAGTGCATCCCTAGAAGAAAGCCCTTTTAGCTGTCTCAACTGCTGAGGTGGAATCAAGGCTTCTTACAGCTTGTTAGAGCTCGAGAGTGTGGACCTAAGAAAGGCTTTCAGTATTCCCTGAGACACCTTGCAAGTACATGATGGAGTTCATTCTTTGATGGCTACAAGCATATTCTACCCTGTTACCATGATGCATGTAGGCATGCACATGTGTACATGTGCACACACATGCACTCATTCAAATGCACATTCACACATACCTCTGACTATATATATATGTTAGTGGGTCTTAGGATGGTATAGTCTAATATCACTAGTTACTGAGAGATGTCCATACATCCTAGGTTAATGGACAGGGATGGAAAATCCCCTGTAGCAACTCCTCCTACTGTAGTTTTAAAGAAAAAGTTACATGGTATGTAGTTACATGGGCTATTTATGTGTGTCTGTGTTCATAAATATACATGTGAACATATGCAGTTGTGCAAGTATGTGCAGGCTCAGAGGTTCATTTCAGATGTCTTTCTCTATTGTTCCTTGTCTCTTACTGAACCCGGCATTTGTAGATTCAGCTACACCAGGCTGGCTGGCAAGCTCCCCCTCCTGTCTGTGGCTCCCCAGAACTGGGATTATAGGTGTCTGCTGATACACCCAGATTTCCATGTGGGTGCTGGAGAGTTGATTCAGGTCCTTTTGCTTGCATGATGTGTGCATTATTAATTGAGCCAGCCTCCTAGTCCAACTTTGACTATTTTGACTTAGAATTTTACACAAATGAATAATATCAATACCTGAAGACATTAGATTTGTCTGAATGTTCAATTACCTCTAAATATTCAAATATTTTACAAATGTAAATAACAAGGAGACGTTGGCTAGAAACTTAAATTTTTTTAATGGAAAGTCAATTTTTTCTCAATAAATTTTCTGGGAGTTCTAAATCATTATTGACTGAAGAAAAGGACACACACACACATATATTATATTCTTTGGATATGTATATCCTACTGATTCCCAGAAAATAATTAACATGGCACATTTATCATATAAAACTGGTTTAAAAACTAAATGTTCTCCAAATAAATATGCTATTTTAATATCATTGCTTTTCATTCTGAATCGGGTGAGAGAAGATAAAATCTCAGTTTTATAATTTACTCGGTCAAATTATGTGAAATTGTAGGTTCTTTAGGTCAAAGACAATTGAAATCAGAAATTTACTATGGTCAATACTGTGTTCAATTTCAAATTATTCTGAGAGAGAATGTGAAAGGAACAGAAATAAAGGCGTGGAGCGGCTGAAGGGACTCCAGTGGCTCCGAGACTCCCTGGCAGACTTTACCCTCAGAGCAGCAGCATCAATGTCACTGGCATCAAGATCCCTGAGCATTAGAGGACATGAAGTGGCCTGTGTAAGGTCAGACAGCAAGAAGCAGAGCCGTTCTCTCTGCCAGGGTTCCGTGAGCTCTCAGTAGTCCTACCCACATCCACTTTCCTAAGGCTATCAACTCACACACATGATTTCGTCATCAACTGAGAGGATCCTCCAGCAATTGCCTCATTATTGACACCAGCGAGTTCCACGAATAAAGGAAGCAGTACTACTGCCTTTGATGGCCTGGAAGAGTGATGTGCTCCCCTTTGCATTAGGTATGTTTTTCTTTTTTAAGTTTTGTTCATGACTTGCAGATACTATTTTAGGATGCTTCTCACAAATTGTGCTTCCTCTTGTTGCCTGTCAAGTGCATCTGGATCTTTGGTATGTGGCTCTCATCTTTTCTTTTCAGGCATTATCTAGCTTTTATCTAGGAGTGGATACGTTTATATTTTCAATCCCTTATTAAAGGATAGTTCTTTCTATCTGAGTTGATTTTAAAATTGTTACTTTCAAAATTTCACATTTTGGAGTTTTGTTTTTCTTTTGCCGTATTGCTTAAACTAATCCTGTTTTAAAAAGATACTCAATTTTATTTTTTTTCTTTTTCATTATGTGACCTGAAAAATATTCAGAGGTTGGTGGTGTGACTCTAATCAGCAGGATTCAAATCATGTTCTGGATCAATGGTTGAATGTATGTTTAGCATGTGTGTGAGGCCCTGGATCTAATCCTCAACATCAAACATAAACAAGTATAAGAAAGATTTTAAATACCAAAATGATGGTCAATGTTACAAAGGACTTCAGGAGACATTTCTAAATGTATTTTGCTGCCACACTGAGAATTCATGTAATTTTCAGTTACTAATTATAATACAGAATTAAAATCTTTAGACACAAGAAAAAAAAGGACATGATATAATTTAGAAGAAATTACCCCCAGACTAAAAGCTAGTAAGTTGTACTTAGGTAGAAATGTATGCTGTGTACGTCTTATTTATTCATTTGTTTATTAATCAGATATTGTCTTGCATATTCTGCACTGCAAGTCAATATGTACAACAAAATTAATGTACAAAAAGTAAGTTTTACTGTTCGTTGGTTATGCAAATTGAGTCTCCTTTCTGAAAGTCAAACCCTATTTGTTGGAAGCAGAAGGAGTTGGAGAAATTTCCATTAAGATAAATAAAAATATAGGCAAGGGCTATAAGATGAGCATTCAATTAGAACTCACACACAGACACACACTCACTCCTAAGGCTGCTGAAATATCAAGTCTTCAATTCTCCATTAAAAACAAGCCCTGATTATAAGCTTTCAAATCATTTAAAGATGTGAAAGCCTGTCTGCAGTTGAGCCCTGTTCAAAGCCAGAACAGAAATCATTTCTTCTTCTTCCAACTCAAAGTATGTTTAGGAGAAGGACATCTGATAGAAGTGGCTGTGCCAGTCTAACCAACTCTAAATACAAAAACGCTTCTAGCAACATTTGGATACATATAATTTGACGAAAAGTTTTGTAAACTGAAGCTTTGAAAAAATAGAAACTATAAGCTCCAACAAAAAGCTTAATATGTAATTGAAAGAAAATAATATTTTGTAGAAAAAAGTTGCCCCTCCAAAAAGAGACAAAAATGACTAACTTTTATTTCCCAAGAGAATTATGCTACTTTTATACAACAAAATTACAGCCACCACAAATTGCTTTCAACAATTCCATCGCTTCTTCATTTGACCACTTGAAAATCAAGATTCTTTCAGATTATAAATATAACTTTTTATAACTCTGTTATTACGTACTGTGAATGGGGAAAGAGGGCCAATCTTGTGGCCGTAGCGTCGAATGGCTTCTCTGATGTGGCAGGGCTGGATGGCATCGCTGTGAGCCTCGACACCACAGGCCGCAGTGCTCTGGGACAGAAAAACACATAAATTGTTACTAAATCAAAAACACACAACAGACTACAGTGTATAAAATATGAAAATAAACCTTTATAGAATGGGCCATTTTCCCCTTAGGACGCACATCACTGCTGCCATATACTACATCTAAAAAGAAAGTTCCATTAACAAATCAAAGATGACTTTTCCATGACCCCGTCCCAGCAGACCTACCAAATGCAGTTTTTATGCCTTCAATATTTCACCCAAGCCTGCATGTCAGGTAGGAGCATACAGCCACTTGTGTGCCGGCGAAAAGTGTCACAGGGGCTTGTTGAAAGACCCACAGGAAGCTCTTTTCAAAAAAAGTTTATAATGTTTCTTGGGAGATTCTTGGGCTTATTTTTGAAATGACTTGAGCCATGAATTAAAATGAAGAAATGTAAAATGGCCATATGTTTGTCATATTGGGGACTGTCTTAGAAGATTGTTTAATTTGATTCTTAATATTTAGGTGTCCTTGTGATAAAGTAAAATAAAACCTTCTTATTTTATCTCATATATTAAAGCCATATTTGAAATCACAAAAAGACATAAGAAAGATTATATGCAAGGAGAGCATGAGTACAAACTCAAGAAATTAAATATATGTATGTATATACATGTATATGTGCATCTACACACATGTATATATGTGTATATGTGTATGTGTGTGATACAACTTCAAACAATTAAAATACTTTTTGAATTCTCAGTCCATTAAGTGACATGCTATAATGCTATTGCTGGGATCAGATTATTATTTAAGGATCAAAATGGGATCAGCACTTACTCGACACAGTAAGCCAACTAAAAGCACAGTAGGCACCAGATGTCAGTTTATCAACTGTATGGATAGATAAAGAACTATTCTGCTTATATGCTATTGTAATTGTGTTCTAGAACCCACTCAGTCACCCAATTAGTGTCATTTATTTTCCCAAGCCTACAGTTACTACAGTTGTTCTGATAACTGTCACAAGCCTGACATCATGGTTACCCATAGGGAATATAATTCTGCATGGAGAACCTTTTGGATAACAGTTTTAGACGATTTCACAGAAATGAATGGGCACAGACTCTCTGACTCAGCAATTTTTCCTTTAAGAATTTTCCTAATGATATATTTCATAAATATACACATGAGTAGTTAATACAGTACTATTTGGATTGACAACTAAATGCTTACCAGTAGGACTGGGTAAATAAATTATGATACAGTCATTCAAAGAAACAGAAAAGATGACACCCATTATGGGCCCTTCTGGGATGATTCTTACAGTGTGATTCCTAAGATACATCATCTAAAAAGACCAGGCACTCAGTCACTCAGCACTGGGTTACTGGTTATTGAAAAGAAAGACGAAGCCAGGAGGCAGTGGTACACATCTTATACCTTTAATCCCAGCACTCGGGAGGCAGAGGCAGGAGGATCTCTGAGTTCCAGGTCAGCTGGGCCTACAAAGCGAGTTCCAGAACAGCCACAAACAGATGTTGCTTATCCATTTAAACATGGACTGTCTCTATGAGGGTTCAGTGAATAAAGTGGCAGGGCTCTCGAGCAGGCTAAGTGGCTGGCTAGAAGACAGGAGTCAGAGGAAGACTTACTTTTCATGATACTTTCCTGAACTTTGAAAATACACTTTCAGTCTACCTGAACTTTGAAAATACACTTTCAGTCTACGTACAAATGAGTAAAACAATGGAAATCCCTACCAAACGAGAATATCTGCTAGCTTTCCAAGCTGAACCTAAAGGAAGACAAAGCATAAAAGAAACGAGCTCTTGATTACTTTGTTATAACAAGTGTTGAAATAAGCCAAATCAGAACTCATGGAGGATCTTTCTCTACCTCTTCTGTGCCCACATCAACATGGATTAAGTTATCTTAACCTTCACTTTGGCAATGATGAAAAGGTATACATTGTTTCTCTGAGTGCTTTCTCAATTCTCAGTCCATTTCATTTCACCCTTGGAAGGAACACATAGGAATAAAATACAACCATCAGGTCCCAGATGTGGGCAAAGTCTCTTTAGTGTGTCCATCTTACTCTGCGACTTGCACACTTGCCTTTATAGTCGATGCCTATATCAAGGAGGTGGCAGGATCCTCTTCACTAGTGGAAATGTATGCAAGTAGTAAGCTGAATTTAGAACCTAAAGAGAAACTCTTCTGGAAGGAACCCAGGAGGAAGTGAAGAAGACCGAGGTCAGTATCCTGTGCACAATATGAAGTCCTAAGCCCTTCCTATGTACAATTCTTCTATGGAACTCCCCTAAATTCCTCATTTTCTCCTTGCAAATTGTATTTAATTGGTTTTCACTTCTTAACTCAAGGCAAAGATAAGACTTTCTAAGTTTGTCAATAGATTTGATTATGTTTATAGAAGGTTTTGCACCAAATCTCTTAGCTTTGTAATGGCAATCTGATAGGATCTGGGGAAACTGAAATAGCAGATTATCTGGTCTGAATCTACCTGTCCTCTCCAGATTTCTACATTGAGATCTTAATGTCCAAGGGCTTTAGGAGGTGATACAATTATGAGGGTAGACCCTCACTCTTACTCCCATGTGAGGCTAGATGACTTTATGCATGAAATTATATGCAGGCATTCACTAACCAATGAATTTGCCAGCATCTTAACTTTGGACTCCCTAGTCTTTGGAATGTGAGAAACAAATTTCTTGTTGGTAAATCACATAATTTATAGCATTTTACTCAAGTAACCTGAATGGACTATGGTAGAATAATAAACTAGAAATGACCTCTGTTTGTTAATTTAAAAAAAAAGATTTACTAATTTTCATTTTACTTGTATAGGTGTTTCGCTTGCCTATATATCTGTGTGTCCCAAGCATGTAATGCCAGCAGAAGCTAGAAGAAGCATCAGATCCCCTGGAATTGGAGTAGCAGAGGGCTGATATCTGCTATGTACTCTGCAAGACCAGTCAGTGCTCTTACATACTGAGTCATCTCCACCCCTTCTGATTGTAAATATGGAGGCAAGACACATTGGGAGACACATCATTTTAAAAAATGAAGTTAACTTCACCTTTATAAAAGTTAAATACATACATTTTTCGTGAAAATGCCATTCAATTTTTCCATTTTGCCAAGTTCATACTCATCTGCCACTATTAGTAACTGTTAGCATTAACATGAATGAAGTTACCACAGGCACTTCTACATTTTCTTGGTTTGTCCACCAAGTTCACCAGAAGAGAGATTTGTAATTTAAAAGTTTATTTTACTTGTAATATTTTTCATCTCAACAAATACCTTATGTCAATATCCAGTCCCTTATCAAGGTGTTTAGAATCTTTTCAAATTAAAGAAATATTCCACATTTAGAAATACTAATTTAGTAGTGATTCTGGTATTTTCTAATCTTCAAAGTTGTTTAGGAAAAAATAACACTAAAGGTATTTGTTCTTTGTTTCCAAGAATTGTATATATACCTCAAATACACAAGGCGTGTTAGATTTACCAATTCATTTTTTCCATTCTCATTAGCCTGACATTTTAGGTACTGTTTAAATTTTCAATAGTAAAGTCAATATACTTTGACAGAATATAGTGTCCTGTTGCCTACATCAGCAGAAGTGTCTGTGCTCATCACTATGGCTGGCTTTCCTTCGGTGACTTGGTAAAGTCCACATGTCAGTTCCTCTTCCTCTCAGCTGCACACATACTCCAACTTTTCATGTCATGTTTCTTCATCCAGAGACTGATGTCAAACACTGGATGCTCAAGCATCAGACCGAGTCTTCCACATCCCTGAACTGACTCTTGCCTCTGTTGGTCTTTGTTAGTTATTGCACAAAATCTCTTAGCAGTTTGAACTCTCAAGGGTGGTAGATAGAAATTATTAATAGATAAAAACTTCTGTTGGCTCTGAATTCTAGCCATGTTTATACCGGTTCTGATTCTTCTAAGTTGTAAAAATCTGGACAAGGTAAGGAGTGTTTCTCAGTCATTCTCTTACTTAGAATAGTTCATGGTTTCAGGACCTTGAATCTCAGACAACTTTTTCTTATTCTCTCCCAAAGGTAGATTAGATCTCAGGCTAAGTTTGAAGACTTTCCAAAGAAAGAGCCATGGTTCATGGGCCAACTCATTAACATGTAATCTGTATCATGTGGACAGGGGTGCTTTCCTTGCCACTGCGCAGGAGACCCTCTCAGGGCTTCACCCTCCCTACCCAGGTTAGATTCTCAGCACCCACTGGCAGCTCACAAAGGTCTGTAATTCCAGATCCTAGGGATCAGTCACCTTCTTATGGCCTTTGAGGACACTACATGCATATGACACAGACATACATGCAGGCAAAACCCACATATGCATAATTAAAAAAAACGAAACCCAAAGCTAGGCTATGGCAGCACACACCTTTAATCCCAGCACTTGGGAGACAGAGACAGGCTGACCTTTGTGTGTTCGAGGCCAGCCTGGTCTAAAAAATGAGTTTCAGGACAGCCAGGGCTGTAACATAGAGAAAACAAAAACAAAAAACAATAAAAAAGAAACACTGAATATGGCCTCAGCTTATACAGCATATTGCATAAATTACTTTGCCCACATTAATAGAACTACATGTAAAATATAAAGCCTACAGAAGAAAACGAGAATATCATCATGACCCAGAAGCAGGAAAAGGATAAATTAGAATTCACCAGAAATTCATCTTAGGTAGATTAAAAGACACTATTAAGGGGATGGTGCAGTGGCACACACCTGTCGTTTTAGCACTCAAGAGCAGAGGCAGTGAGATTATGAAACCGGTATGGGCTATAAAGTGAAACCCTATCTTCAAAAAGATACCACTGAGCTGATCAAAAGGTAAGTCACAAACTGTGAGAAAGCCCATGTAAAGTAGCATGCAACAACAGACCCTTTACCTGGCATGTGTATAGAACTCCTACAAATTGGTACTACCTTCTCATTACATATATTAATTCCTTACCTGTGAAAAATCCATTAGAATGGTTAAAGTAAAGCTAGTGGTAACAGCAGACAGAGAGAGATAGGAAGGGGAGGGGGAGGGAGGGGAAGAGAAAAAGACAGAGAGGGGAGAGAGAGAGAGAGAGAGAGAGAGAGAGAGAGAGAGAGATATTGCAGGATGGCAATAAGGATAGTGTTCACATTAGAATTCTCTTAACTTCTCCTTGAGAAAAATATCTTGTTTATGCGTACTGGTGGAACACGGTCCAAGAATGGAGGTATGTGAGTAGATTTGAGTGCTTGTAAGAAATTCCAAGAAACCAAGACACAAGTGACCTCTGTTTCTTTAAAAACATGGAATTGTTCTTAGATTATGCCTTTGTGCCCCTCCCAGATGTAGTGAATAGGAGTGAGTTCACTTCAGATTAGTCACTGCAACTGGCTATTGCTTGTTTATATGCCTTCATGAAAAAACAAGATTTTGCCCTGGGTGGCTTACCCACCACGTGTGACTTGCCCTTGTGATTGGACACTTTATTCATGTGACTCCTCTTAACCCTGAGCTATAAACTGTCTGATGCTTGAATAAAGTTGACTATTGCATGAGACTTTAGTCCACCTCATTTATGGATTTCATCTTCCCAGGTCCCACTGCCTCTAGACTGGTAACAGTACCCAAAAGTTGTTTCAAGTCTGACTAGAGGTCATTGATTATGGGTACCTATAAGCTGACTGCTTCTTAAGCTTTGAGCTGTGAGAAACACACACACACACACACACACACACACACACACACACCCACACCATTTTTTCATAACTATAAAAACCCCCTAAACCCAAAATTTTTCTCTCCACTCTCTATCAAAAAAGAAAGGAAGAAAGTCAAACCAAATCCAAAACACCAAAACAAACAACCACCACCACAACAAAGCCTACCAACCTTTTTCCTCTTTCTCTGCTTGCTTTTACTAGAGTCTTGTCCTGTACTGCCATTCCCCAGGGATCCGGATGTGGCTCTCCCGGAATGCTGAGATCCAGAAGAGGGAGCTGTTGGTGTAGCAGGCGGTGTGTTCTCAGGAGAGTCTGGACAGGACTTCAAACAGGACCCCTGTACAAAGACATGGCTTTGAGATGAACTGACCAGACCTCCTAGCAATACATTATCTTTACACTTAATACCATTTACAGCTTAAAAATTTATTCTTGTCTATTCCATAGAAATGGATGTCTTTCCCCTAAAGTTCTAGTTATAATAATTTTTAATCTAATTATTCAGACAAAAATTCTACATGTACTGCCTCTAAAGTTAAATTTGCTGGATAACATGGAAAGTTTGCTTGTATTTTAAATTTACAAGTCTCCAAAAGAGTCTCTAAACTCTCCCCAGACTGGATGGATGGCTTTTAGACACTGTGTGTGTTAGTTACTACCAGCATTTTCCCCATAGCTCAAAATCATTTTAGGATCACCGAGTCTTCCAGTCTGCAATGTCCTCTTCCCTTTCTTAATACTGCTCTTTTATTTATTTGAAGTACAAGCCTGTTATTTATTTCATCTCAAATATTTGAAGAACTGTCCTTTTAGCATCTTCTTTTCTATGGTCAATTTCTAACTTCATTGAGCCAGTTATCACAGACAGGCTTTTAAGCTCCTCCACAGTTCCCCCTTAACTCCCCTTCACATGCGCTCACTGGGTGAATGACATCCTACAGGATGGAGTTAGGAAACAGGTCCCTGCACTGGCAGGTAAATGCCTGTGGGGGGGGCAGGTGTGGTCTGACCCTAGAGATAGCCAAAGTCACCTAGGCTATTAACCAGCCTTCTAAGAGGAAAGAGGTTACACCTTTCTTTCTTTGAAGAGATAATACTGTATGTTCAGCATTTCTGGTTTCCCCAGTGCTTTTTTGTGAATGAAAGGACCTCTGTGCGCCCAACAGGATGGTCCCTAAATGCCATAACAAGACATTTTCTTGTCAAATAACAATACTGGCTTTTAAGAATCTATAGATATTAAAGATTTATGAGTCATTTTCTTACATAGTCTTACCCACACCTTCCTCATTCTATTAATCATACTAACCATGCACTCTGAAGATCAACCATTCTCTATAATATAGTAGAAGAAATGATGTTAGATTTTGCAAACCCCTTGTTGAAATTCTGGTACTGGTCTCAACAGTATTTCCTTGATCAGACTGTCTGGAGACACCATCAAACAAGAGGCAGTAAAGCTAATTTTGACTGAGTATCTTTCGCTCAAAATGCTTAGGTTCAGTTTTGTTTCAGAGTTTGTAATTTTAAGAAAACTATTTTGGAATATTTACATAGCTCCAAGGGATCATGCCCACATGTGTGTAAACCATATGCTGAAAAAATATATAGAAAACCATTGCTATTACATTTGCTAGTCGAGTGTCAGGAACCCAAGCTTAACCAGCCCGGTTCCTCATGTAGTTAGTGTTTAAGGATGATGCCCCTCAGACAAGATGAACCCAGTCAACCTGGTGACTGATTACCATACACTGGCACTGATGTCTGGATCTCCTAAGAGCATCTCTTTAATATCATACTTCAGCCGAGATCTTGAACTAGTCTTTGATAATTCGCAGTAGTGTGTAACACTACACAATCCTAAGTTTTAAATTTTTTAAAATAGAACTTCCAATTAGTTCTCTTTGGTAAGGTTTTAGTTTTACCAGAGTTACTCACTTCCAGTCCTTGTACAATGTGCTTTTGCTGCCTCTGAGGCCCAGAATGAACTTTCCCGCTAGCTTCCATACCTTCAACACTTCGATGTCGACATGCATGCATACACATGAGAGTGTTTTAATTCTCTAGATGGTTCATTTGGAAGTCAGTATAATACACTAACTTGGCTTCTGTGCTTGCTCATCTATTGGCTTGTTTGTTTTACAAATCATTCAGTCTCTCTGAACACAGCCACTATCATTCTCCAGATGCCCCTCTGGCCCATATTTGGCACAATTCTTCATGTTAACTACTGATTTGCAATGCTGATGAGTGAGAATTCTGCTTTAGCATGGAATTATCTCTGTTCTATCAGATAATAAAGGGCAGGAAGGGAGACAGTCTCTGTAAATGTCTACTTTGACTACCAGTCACAGGGGAGGGAGAGTAGGTGGATGTCAGGCCAGGAGAAAGCTTGGGGCAGACACTGACAGTCTGTCAGGAATCTCTCTGAGATTCATGCTCCTGACTCCCAGAGAGCCCAGGAAACCCACTACACATAGGACATTTTTTTCAACTGTTCTTTAGCTGGGAAAAGAGCCTGTGGTTGCTGAGTAGTTGCCCAGGGTAGCTTGGCCACCCTGGAGAAACAAGAAAGAAGGATGGGGATGTTGGGGGTGTTTTCTGAGACTTGCAAGCAATCACTTGAATGCTAAGGAAAAACTGGGTTGTTATGTTCACAGTAAATTTCCTCAATTAGAAATGTTACAACAAATTTGTCTGATGTTAATGGAAAGCACACTATACACATACTCATAAAGCATCAAAGACATTGCAAAGGGCACTCTTTGACATCATAATTGGGGTTTGAAACATAAAGAAAATAAAGAGTGTTTAATCAACTAAGTAAGCTTTAGGAAGTTTTCAAGCATGCTGACTGATAATGATGTATGACCTTTTTAATGGCCATAAACATTTCAATCCCTACTTGGATTTCAAGACAATCTGATTCTCCAAGGGCTATGAGAAAAGTTGAGTTGACTTCTGGTTTGTTAGTAAGATACTATATGCGAAGATATCATAGCATAGATCCTAAGCATTATAGCGAAGAATATATAACTTGGGGTCCATGGTGAATCCACAGACTAATAGAATGGCTTCAGGGTCTCTTTGAACAACCCAAAATTATACTAAAAAATGTGTATAAATCCAGAAAAGGATTTATAGTTTTTTTTCAGACATTCAAAAAAATCCTTGGCATAAAGCAAATCATAACTGTATTTTAGAAGCGGTCTGAGCTACCATACTCATCCACAGATAGTAACAGGAAATAGATGAGTACTATTAAATGGGTTTTGCTGTGTTCAAGTTACACATTTCGGCCAACTTGACCTAAACTCACTTTATAAGTACACATGCAGATGTGAACCTACTCTGTCTCCTATGGCTCGTAGAGTAGATGATAAGACACTGCTGCGTTTGTTACTAAGACACTCAAATGCTGACGGATGTATTCGACATGTTCTGTTGCATCTCTTGTTTTCAGGCACAACGTGCAAAGTTATGCAAAGGTTACACATGTTGAAATTTCTCAATTCCTATTGAAAACATCCCAGCAGCACAAGGGAGATAGAGCAGACAAGGGGTGCCAAAATGCAAACTGAGGCTAGATGGAGCCATGTCAATATAAATTATTGTTTAGATAAATCACTAAATGAAACGGAAAGTTATGAATAAATATTAGGAGTTATTACATAAAAATACATCCCCAGTTCACTCCAGGGTCTCTTGATTTCTTGTAGACTAAGCAAGAATTGTACCATTGATCTACAGCCCCAGCAGCTCTCATCATTTGAGCTACAAAGAAATAGCTTTCTCCAGCATTATGTAATTATATAGACTAATTTATTCACTTCACATGTCTCAGAGCAAGACAGGTTCTGCAATCATCTGTCTGTCATTGAAGGGCTAGGAAAGACAAGGATTCTTTAAAAAGATTTTTTTAAATTTATTAAATTTCATTATTTATTTTTTAAAAAACAAAAAGGGGTCAAAGGGTGAAAAAGAGTCATTATATCAAATGGCTCCTCAGGGCTTGGCACAGGAAATGCTCAGTCATTATTTGTGTAAATGGTCAATGGATTAAGATTCTCTAAGAAAAGACCACACATTCCTATAAAACGCTTTCCAGAGAAGAACTAATGTCAACATGTAACAAGTACATAGATGTGTTCTCAGATTTTCTGATACTCACCTCAGCTGAGTTATGATACTGAATGAAGGTTGCAGAAATGGCATGGCTGAAGGGGTCCCCTGCCTTGGAAACCATATCCTGCCTCACGAGAAGAGCCAGATCCACTACCTGAAGAACAGAGTAACAAATATAAAGTGATATAACTGGAAATAATCACTAATGCCATAGAAGAGGGTAGCACACTCAGAAGGTTATTGACATTAATACTGTCTGCCATCCATTTGGAAGTGAGCACAACCTTTCATTGACTGGTGACTGGGCCAATTCACAATCACAAACGACAAGTTTGATTTTCTAAGGGAGCAGCTTTCAAATTTCATTTTGTTATCAACAATGGAGCATTTTAAATGGGGATTTCTGTACTGTGAGCCCTGGGATTCCAGGCTAGCTTAGGGGTCTCCATTCTCAAAATGGGCTAACAAGTGGCTGATCCTGTACCCTAGTGACCATACCCAGGAGGGACCACACTTGCATATCTCCAGAGATAAAGGGGTCACAGACTTTGACAGCCACTTATTTAAAAAATCAGAAACAAGATTTTAAACAAATCTGTTGAGGATATAAGACTTCAACATTGAGAAAAAGTGGGCATTCCATATATAGTTACAATAAAGTTGAAGAATCAGACATTTAAAATATATTTTTGTTAAACTATCAAGAATTTTATACATGCCAACAATGTATTTAACTCATATTCACCCCCAACTCTTCTAGTTCTTCCCAGATCTACCCCATCCTCGTCTTCTGTTTTAATAATCCTAGTCCAATTTGTGCTGGCTTTATATGCCTGGGAGTAGGGACACCCGCTGGAGCATGGTTAACCTACCAGGGGATAGAACCTTAAATAAAATTGGTTCTCTCTCCCTTGGAAGCCATCACTGTCAAAAGCTCCACAGTTAGGAGTGGGGCATGTGAGCTGGAATGTAGACTATATTAAGTTTGTGCAGGTCTAGACACATTATTCTTTTAAAAAGTAAAAATAACAACAACACAAAACAAAACCTTATAGCCTCGAGAAATAGCTATACAAAGAAACATAACTGAGCTAAATTATAGAATATGATGCATTTCAAAAGAAAATGTATGCTCTTCTTATCCCAACTAGAGTAGCAGGTGGAATAAAGAACTGATCATGGGCCCAGGGAGGAGAAATCAGCAGGAGCAGTTGATTGACAGTTCAGACTCTTACCTGTGCCACTGTTTCATACGCTAAGTATGCCAGAATTTCCATAGCTATGACATTGGGCTTTATCTCCATGCTGCCGCAGTCCAGCCAGTCTCGAAATTTGGAAGCTTTTTTGGCTATTAATTAAAAAGAAGAGAAATGTTTTACTTTTTAACATGTTTTAACCTTCACATGATTGTAAGAAAATAGAAATATTCCTCCTGAAACTGCATAGAAGAAATAACACCCATAGAAACAATGTTTGGGAAGTTCTCTTAACGTCTAATTTTTTTTTTTTTTTAAGAAATCCAAGGTTGGAAACCTTGGTTAAGAAGCAATACCATGGTTTCATTCTACAAATTTCTCATGCACTTGGATCTTTTATCTCTCTGTGGTGGATGACATGGGACATCACACCCTCTAACCTCGGGTCTCTAGGATGGATGGCATGATACACCACACCTTTTCATCCTTGTATTTCTCACAGAGCTCTAGAGTATGTTACCATTGGCCAGAGTTTTAATTATTATCATAGAAAAGCTGCTTTCTTCATACAACTTAGTTCTTATGGAAATAAAACTCTGGAAGAAGTTGTGATGAAGGAATACCGAGAAAAAAATTACATATCCAATCCTCAAAATGTACCTACTACTAAAATAGGCTCAAAATTGTGAATTGAGAATTAAATAAAGCATTGCTGGCCTGAGATAACCTGTAATTATTACGTCTTTGCTGACTATGGAGATGTTAGAATTCTTAGGCCTGACTCTCCAAACCAGACTTACTGCAACCTGCCCTTACTACCATGGAACTGAGCTGGCCTTGAGTCTCGTCTCTGTGCTCCTGTCTGTTCTCCCCTCAACCCTTCTTCATCCACACAATCCTGACCATCCAGGTCAAAGGCAGACTTCTTACAACATTTACGGACACAACTACAAATATTTCCTATGTGCATAGATTTCTCAGACCTTAGTTCTTTGTTGGTAGAGAATATGCCCGAAGCTCCTGGATACCTAATTGTATGATGCAGATATGGAACCAAGCAGCATACACCTTTCATTAAATACCTGTAATTGTCTGGATGGGGGCACACCTTTAATCCCAGCACTTGGGAGGCAGAGGCAGGAAGATCTCTAAGTTTGCAGCCAGCATGGACTACAAGCAAATTCCAGGACAGCCAAGGTTGCACAGAGAAACCTTGTTTCAAACAAACAAAAAAACCCAAAAACCTAAACAAAAAACTCAAACAAACAAAAACAAACAGAACTAACCATCAAACACTGTAATTGTCCCAGTACTAAGTAGAGCTGAATCTGAATTTGACATAGAACCTTGCTTAGCCATGACTAATATAACTAGTAAATTAGAAGGTAAAAGGTGGTTAGTAAAGTTGTTTTTTTTTTTTTAAATAAAATCTGCAAGGGAATCTTTAAAAAAGATCATCCTTTTGACTATTCTGGCCTTACTAGTCTGTAAAAGTCTCAATTCAGAGCATGCTGTTTGGCTCTAGTCAGAATTCTCATACATTCCACATACAGGAGAGTTTTCTTTTAAATAAATCACAGAAGACATGAAGTCCTGCTATTGAAGCACATGTCCAAAACTGTCAAATGTGGCAGAATTATGATAATCCCCCTTAAAGCTATCTCTCTAAAGTAACCGGTCTTCACATCCTCTGACAGGCAACATTCCATCTAACTAGCAAGCTGGAACAGCTCACTAACACTTGTTCAACATCTGTGGAATACTTCTGAAGTTCAAGTGAAGAGGCAGCATTTTGGCAAGATCAATAAAATGGAACTTATTGCCCATTTCCCTCTGACAGAGCATTAGAACACAGAAAAAGCACAGAAGCTGCTGTAAGTTATTTATTTTGAAGGTAAGAAAAGGGTCATTATTAGTTTTCAGCCATGAGGAAGAGAATTAGCAGTGTCTTTGTGAGACTGGAGGCGCTCAGAATGCAGAAGTCTAAGTACCCGCTGCACAACCAGAAAGCAAAATACCTGGTGCCAACAGACTCGCCATACCTATTTCTGTAACAAATTCACAAATGATTATATCATGCTTGTTTGTTTTGTTCATTTTTTTTTTGAGACAGGGTTTCTTTGTGTAGCTCTGGCTCTGGAACTCACTTTGTACAGCAGGATGGCCTTGAACGCTTGCCCCTGCCCCCTGAGTGCTAGGATTAAAGGCGTGCCACTCCAACACCCAGCAAAAATATATTTCTTTAGAGAAATTCTAAAGTCCAATCTTTACAACTTTTAAATATCTGTCTGTGTGGGGTATGGGAGTCATGTGTACATGAGCCACAATGTGCATATGGAGGTCACCCAGTACGCACAACACCAGGGATCCTAGGTACTGCCAAAAACAGGTCATGGTTCCAGTGTGCTGGTAATTCATCAAAAGGAGAAGACTGCAAACAGCCCAATACTCTGCCTGCACAGGGCTGGCTTCTCGATCTGCTCTGATGAGCCTTTTCAGCTTTGGTATTTCCATCATAGAAAACAGGTTCTTCCACCTAGGCTTCAAATGAAGCTCCCACAGATACTATATGAGCAAGTATTTTTAATGCCAAAATCCTTTCTCCCCATCCCACAGAAAAGAACATTATGCATAACATACTACTTTATCTGTAATTTTATCAGAAGTAGAAAATATTAAGCTTCATCTACTATAGTTTTCTTGTGTGTGCTCAATGGAACAGTAGAAAAGAAATAAAATCTAATTTTCAAATGAAAGATGCATTACCAGACTAAGGCCATCAGTTTTAGTGTGCAACAGCACTTCATTTCTTCTTGTAAATTCAGTTTAAAATATGATTTAAAAAATAGTTCAACTGCACTAAATGCTACTTTATGAGCTGGAGATTTATGCTTATAAAATACTTGAATGCTGTATTTAAACCCCAAAATTACCATACAAAACCCTCTCATTTGCTGAAATTGCCACGATCTGAAGTGTCATTTACTTAATGCTTCACAGATGTCTGATGCCAAGTTGTTAGTCAGATTGGAAAATATATTTTGTTAGGAAAAAAATCTTTCAAAACATGTTTTCGTATATTTTACTGATGTTTGCATGGGGCAGCGCTATTTGAAATGTGTCATTTATTTTCACTTCATGATCTAAAATGCTGCTCTCATTTTCTTTTTCCAAATCAAATACATGGTTATTGTGACCACACAATTGTTTTTCATTTAAAGACATCATTGTTTCTATAACTTCTCAGATCAGGGTCATGCGTGCCTTTGTCATATTTTTAAATGGACTTTTCATTGCCCTTTCTTTTGACCTTTACCCCAAGGACTTTAGTTGTCACTGGGCTATTGACACACAATCTAGTCCACTGTTATAAGGTTGCAAGTGCTTTTTAGAAACCGCTGTTCAGTGATGGGAAGGCACTGACTTTTCTGCTCTTATTCCTGTGGCAAGAGGACTGACTCACGACTCTGGCTAGCACTCAGGGCATGCTACAGTAGGAGGTTAAGGACAAAATGAAACACTCTATTGAGATGCTACTTTGTGGTAACATGAGTGTGCATAAATGGGAATTTGGGGTTTATAATTAATATTGGGAGCTTTTAGATGTCATGACTATTAATGTTCACTATGGACCAGTACAGTCAGCAATACTGTACTTCAGTAAACATGACTAAGAAACGAGAAACTAAAGTAAGAATTGCAAGAAAAAAGAAACTGTTCTGACTAAAGGCTGTACGGATAATTCCACTGCTGTCTGTGTATGCATATGCTCTCAAATCTCCTAACACAACTGACTGTATAGCCGCAGAACATAGCAAAATCTTCAGGGGCACCCCAATGCAGATGCTGTTTCTGTAACGTCAAATATTGAATACATCAGTTTCTAAAGAACAGAGAACATGTCACAGTCTAGGATGTCTGTAACACAATTCCTCACACACCCAAAAGTGAAGTTAAATCTGTACTCACAAAAACTTAGCTGCCGGCTTTCACAGAATTCCGCATATTGAGCTGAATCCATAGTTCGAGTCTGTCTTTCTGCTCTCTAATGGATAAGAAAACAAAACAAAACAAAAAACCAAGTTTTTAAAGAAAATAGATTCTTAACAATCATTTCTAGAGTAGAAACTTAGGCTTCATTTACCATGTTCCATGCCTTAATCTAAGAAAGCGATTAAGTATGGTGACAGACATATAACAACCATGACAAGTAATCAGAGTTGTGCTGGGGCTGGAGCCATGCCCTGCGGTAGAGAGGGAACTGCTCTTCCGGAGGACCTCAGTTTGGCTCCCAGCACCCACATCTGGTGGCTTATAACCATCTACAGCTCCAGCTCCAGAGGATCTAAGGTCTTCTTCTGGTCTCCCTTGGTACTGTATTCATGTACATGCACACGTGTAATTGAAAATAAAAGAGAAATATTACAAAGTAAAAAACAGCAGTTGTAACTTTATTTCTTTTGGATATAAAGCTTATAGTAATTTCTGCTCCTTTGTTACTGAAGCTAAAATTCAAGGACTGGATTACTTAGTCAAAACACATCTAACATTTTCTATTTATCCCGACCTTTTAAAGCAAAAACAAACTGTGCAGAGAGGACAAAGCAGACTTCAAACCCACTATTCACTATCATCGTCCATCTGCTTTACAGTTGTGATGTGGCAAACACTAGAGCAGGAGTCAATGCCTGAAATCCATATATCCCCTCAGATCCCAGTGCCAGAGCTAACAGAGTCAGTCTTCTCAATTACAAAGAAAATAAGGAGAAAGGTAAACACAAGACAACTCCTTTAATCTGAGTCCATGGATGATTCCCAGCTTGGTCTAGCTGCATTCGTGGCTTTGATTCAGTCCTGCAGATGTTTGCTCCTACATTGTCTCACAGAGGTAGCATAATTACACTTCACCCATGGTTTGGTGGCAAAGACTATAACCACTTCCGTTTCCTTGGTAAGGGGAGCAGGTTGAGATGAGGCAGCCTGGTGCTTCTTGGAAGGGACATCTGACCAATAAAGGGAAAAAAAATTCCCTGAGATTTCAATTTTTTCTGCAGTGGGAGGACTTTCAGGAAATGCTTTCTCACAGTGGTGTGTGCACTCAAGAACAATGTTTCTTAGCGGTCATACTACATTTTCTTTCTTGTCCAGTCTGAGTAGAAGTCATTATACAGGTTTGTCACCCGATGCACTGTTCAAAGAGCTGGAGTGAGGGAAAAAGTCCCTTTCTTCCTTTCCTTACTTTCTCCCCAACCAAATATTCTCACAAACACGTGCACACAAATCCAGACTTCTTTTGATTATTTATCTGCTTAGCTCAAGTGTTACTTCTGAGTACACACAGCAAGTATTATATACAGGTAACATGTACATATACACACATGTCTGTATGTGATTTAGTTATTCATAACTATCTATTTATTCATACGTAGTGTGTGTACAGCCAACAACTTGGGATGTTGATCCTTACTTACTGTCCCCCTTTAGTTTGGGACAGTATCACTAGGACCTTCCTCACAGAACAGGCTGGTTTGCTCAGGAGCTTCCAGGGATTTGTCTGTTGATGCCTCCCATCCTCCCATCCTGCCTTTGCTGGGATTACTGGCACATGCCACTAGGCCCAGTGTTGTACCTGAGTACTGAGGATTTGAACACTGGTCCTCAGGCTTGCATGGTAATAGTTTACCAAATGAACTATCCCCCTAGAAACTGGCCTCTTAATGTGACTGATAGGACTCAATAACTGTTTGCTAATGGAAAATAAAAAGCAAACAAGTAAGTGTTTAGGTTCTGAACAAAGCTAGTGGGTTACTAATGTGTTTATTAAAAAAAAAAAAAAATCCCTGCCGGGTGGCGCACACCTTTAATACCAGCACTCTGGAGCCAGAGGAAGGCAGATCTCTCTGAGTTGGAGGCCAGACTGGAAAACAGAGTGAGTTCCAGGACAGCTAGGGTTAGCTACACAAAGAAACCCTGACTCAAAAACAAACAAACAAAACAAAACAAAACAAAACCCAAACTAACACTGATAACACTTAGCACTGCATAATTCTTATGTATTTATGTAGGTGTATGTATGTATGTCTCTGTGTATGATTATAGTGAGAACCCCTCAGGTCAGATGTGTGTGTGTGTGTGTGTGTGTGTGTGTGTGTATGTGATTATAATGAGAACTTCCCAGGTTTGAATATCTATGTCCTAGAAGAATACCTGACACACAGTAAATACGCAATGAACATTCTGAATAAACAAATGCCACCCCTTTATTCAACAGGGCAGGCGATGTAACTAGCTCTCAGTAGCTATGACTCCCGCACTATCTATTTGCTGCCCTGAACCCAGCCACCACATTCCCCCAACAGAGGACAAGACAGAAAGCACTTAGACAAAGACACAACAGTCCTAAAGGAATTCCTAATATCTTTCTTCTACTGAGTTCGGCAATCAAGATTTGGCTTCGGTATACATGCTAAGATAGTTGGGTGTCTGTAATTAAGAATTTTAGTCTTTTAACGTGAGGAGAACTTATCCTAAGAGATTAAGGTTGCCAGGGTGGCCGGCTTTAATTAAATAAAGTGTGTGGCAGTTGGGAGATTCTGTCCTACAAAGCCTATCATCTGAGGCCATTTTAAAGATACTCACAGACGTACGAAGGGCTTTGCGTTATTACAGCTAGCTTCTTTACTTTCTGACACGCTTGCTAGCGCCTCTTCCTTTTGTGCTGCTCATCTTAGTTCTTTTCAGCTCCTTTAGTATATAAGCAGTGCCCTTTGATGTAGGCAGCATCAGGAAGCTGGCCCTAGGGCACTCAGCACTCACAGGAAACACTCAATGCAGGGTGGCTGATGGCAGTGAAGATTTATTGGCATGCTGTGTTAGAGCTACTGGAAGCTTAAAGAGTATCTTGTTTAAGCCTCTTCATTTTAAAGATAAGGAAACTGAGGTTAGGAGAGATGCAATTTGCCAGAAACATATGTATTTGCATTACAAAAGCTTTGTCTAGACTATACTACATTTTTTACTCCAAGGTCCTTGTAGGATGACCTATGACCAGGGATTTTAAGAATTATGACCAAATCGTATGAATTCCAGACAGGGTAAGCAGATTCTAAAATGAAGTTCTACTTAAAAGAATCAAGAGACTGTCCATACATTAAATAATCATGGCTTTTGTTTTCTGTGGTGCCCTTTTTTCCCTTCCCTGTTGCTTCTCTTTGGATGCCAGTGCATTCTGTAGTGTACACGGATGGACCTTTACTAATCTGGTTACCAAAGTCCATCTGGGAAAAGAATTCCCCAGTTTAGTACAATGATATGGTTATAATGACAATGCCTTCTCCACACAGAAAATGCAACCTTTACATCTGTAAGTTTGGCTCATATGGGTCAACTCAGGCACATATTTCCCAGAAAGTGACCTGCAAGTACTGTGAGAGCCATGGCAGGAAGTACGCTCCTTCATGTTCTGGCTTCTTCTTAACAAAATGACAAACTGCAGGCTTAATTTTAAAGGTGTCTCTCTAAAAGGGAGTTCTCAAGTTTAACTGATCATTTAATATGGTCACTAAACTGGAATATAAAAAAAAATCTGTTTTGCCCACATATGCTCATATATGTCTGTGATCCAAGTGTTTGTGAGGCTGAGGTAGGAGGATCACAAATTTGATACAGTAAGATCTTGTTTCAAAAGCTAAGTAAGCAACTACCCATTCTCACTAAACCAAAGCAAACCAAACCTTCATGTTTTTAGAATATCAGAAGCACAAAACCCTGAATGAGTATTGATGAACAATGATCGCTGGCTTAGATCATTTATCCACAAGGGTGGGGAAGTTACACAATGCTCTTTTTTAGCTCAGACAGTCACATGAGCACAAGGTCATCTTCAGATTACTCAAGTTTGGTATCCTCAAGGTCAGTTCCACATATGACCTGATTTTCTTGGGTAATCTCCAATATTCAGAAAAATACACAACACACTCACTTTTCCTCCAATTAAAGCTTGTGGTATTATTAGAGAACAAACTAAGAGCCTATTTGGAAAGTACTGCATTTGAAATTGTTATTGCTAGAGTCTTCTAAGCATCTGATGATATACATCTAACTATATATATATATATATATATATACATACATACACATATACGTATGTGTGTGTGTGTGTGTGTGTGTGTGTCAAGAGGAATAGTTATATTACTAGCCACCCATCTTACTACCAAGAAGTTACAGCCTGTCCTGGTTATCGTATAATGAACTGTGAAGGCAGATTCCTACGCTAGATGGGGTCACTTTCTAGATACTATCTACAGGAAAGTAAATATCTGCATTCAAGCAATATTATGTGGAATTTGTTTTTGTATTATTTTCAGTATCTTGAAAATAACTGACTCTCAGTGCTTCAGCACTTTAGTGCCAAGTTGCCTGTGTCTTTGAAAACACCTTGGGCAGCAACAGTCACTGCTTGCCACAGCCTCCAGCATCTGGATGACTTATGTGGCACACAGCCCTATTCAAGTTCTCCATGTGCTTTCACTGGAGCATGCTCAAAGGTTACAGAAGCTATGTGCTGGCATATCTCCTGAAGCTTCTCAACACATATGACATCTATTTTTCTTGAGTAACTCAGAATCATAGAACATAACCTTTATACACAAATAAAAGTTTATCTGTTGCTGTTTCCATCTCAAAAGCACACATTTTAAAAATCTCTTATTTTGACTACTCTCAGAACATGCACAACTGAAAGCGAAGCCCTTCTGAGTGGAAAAGTATCATGTTCATGGCAATCTCCCTTACACGAGATCAGAACCAGACAACTAACCTGCAAACCCCAACTGCAGTGGCTGGTGGCAGTATTCAACATGGCAATACATGGAACAATCTGTGTGTTCGTGGTATGTGGCAGAAGGACACAGCAGTAAAGCACACCCAATACTGAAGAAATGTCTTAGATCATTTGCAAGGTACTGTCTGACAGGCATGCTTATCTCAGGAGCTGGAGAGAAACCTCAGAACTCTAGTGTCTGTGTGCACTCTCATGCACACATG